TGTTTTGTACCATTGTAGCCAAATATCATAACAGCAGCGCTGAAAGTCACATCATCAATCAAAGCTCATCACAAGCAGACTTCCATAAGAAGGTTAATACTTATATAAAGAAGCTGCACAGTGTCATTCTCACAAACAGTAAAAAAAAAATGCAATAAACATTAATTTAACAACATTAAATATGACATAAAACCCTAACTGATTAGGAAAAAAAGCAAGAAAACTATGAGGAACCATAGTTATTTCAACAAAAATACATCAAAGTGTCACACAGGGAATTGTGGGGATGTCTATACGTTTTTTCACTGTAAATTATACAATGAGCTGTACTTTTTCACTTCCAAAAACAGTAAATTTAACGGTATTTTACAGTAAAATTACATTAAATGTACCATGAGATCTATCAAAGTTATTTAACGCAAATAGTACCGAAACTTTCAGTAAACCAATTAACAGTTTTGCGGTCAATTATCGTTAAAATAACGATTATTTTTTTAAGTGTAATTTCTTCACCAAATATTGCGCCATTTATTATAAATGATTTATCTATGCACGACACGTTGTTATTCTTTTATGTACTAACTCCGTAACCTTCAATCAAAAAACTTGTCACTCACGTGAGATCACAGCAACAGCAAATCAGCAAAGATTTAACGAATTCCCGATGGACGAAATCAAGTTCCAAGCCATTTCACTCGTATATGGGTCACAAAAGTGAAGAAAATAATATTGCAACTTTCATTTCACGTTGCCTTCAAAGAGCCCCACCACGTTTAAAGATGAAAAAGAAGATATCTTGGGACAGATATGCAATCATAATCTGAGTCCAAATTAAATATACAATGATGGACTGATTTCTAAGAGGGTATTGTTGGTATGTTAATGAAACTATTGCATTCTTCTAAAAAAAAAATGACATCATGCAGAGCAGACCAAAAGCATCAGCATATGATGGGCTTTGCATTTTAAATGAGAGCAGAATGAAGTAGTAATCAGCAGAAGGTTTTGTCTGATTTGATGTAGCTGCTGACAGACACCACAGAGCGCATAATGACAGAAGCAGGCAGGCGTGCGGACACACTCCTGCCGGTGATTGGTGGGGTGTAGAGACCGTAGAGATGACTTGACACCCTTAGAGAACACAACACTGATGAGGTCTCACCTGCAAGCAAGAAGGGCAATGCTCAAAGGCCCCGATACCTCTCTTGCTGGGCCCTAGACAGCCAAAGCTCCTGACATATGTCATTCCCAATCTGTTCAGCGGGAACACTCCTTTTCTGACATAACCTGTCAGCGCGGCACAGACGGCCACCAACACGAAGCTCAGAGAGCTGTGTTGATGCAACCCCCTTCCTGCTAATTGGTGTTTTTGTAATAACACCATCTGTTCTTTAAGAAAGTCAGACTCTGTCTCTAAGAGGACACAATCTTCCAGAACAAATGAATACACCAGACAAACAATGCAGTGTTTTTTTTTTTTTTTTGGGGGGGGGGGGGGGGGGGGGGGGGGGCAACTTCCACAAGGTGAAGACTGAAGATCTAAGGGGAAAGAGGAAAGCTTGTGTTCTAAACATCTGTTCGTTCCTCACTTCTAATGAATGCATCATATAAACGGTAATGTACGCTTTACACCTGCAATCTAATCCCATATGAGTTATTTCATGCACTCATACAGAAATAATCATACCTCATAGTAGAAATAATACATGCAATTTTTTAGAAAACAGTGTGTGTGTGTGTGTGTGAATATATAGCCAAGCAGAATTATAAGTGTGGTAAGAAAGAATTTGCCTGCCATCTAGTGGAAAATAACTATAATTATTGCACTACCCTGCACAGACATAACTGCTTCTTTATATTATAGCCTACTGTAGTTTGAAATAAACATTATTTAAAAAAAAATAGTAATATAGCCTATGGTCTAGCTATTGAGATAAAAAAAAAAATACTGTCTTTACTGTGATTAAACAATGGTTATCATACAATGACCCTGTTTACTTGTGTATCATACAATGACCCTGAGTGTCATTCGAGTCTCCAACTCTCACGCATTGGCCGTGAGACACACTCATTTGATTGGTTACACACGCCACCCACGATTTCTTACGCTGAAGTGTCAAACCAGACGGTCAAACGCCAGAAAGATGATTTTATCTATAGATCTACCTGTTGAGCCACTCGATCGACTAGTTTTGCCGCAAATTAGTTAAAATCCCCCGGAATCTAGAGCGCGCGTCTTTATACTTATACCTAAAATACGTCTTTATACTTGCACAGTCCAAATTTACTACGCTATTTATTCTAGAAACAATATTTCTTAAAAATGTTTCTGTAATAGACTGCCTCACAGCTGTCTGTGGGCCTTTGTAGGCTAACTCAGAATCACTGGCCTATTTGTTTGGATACCATGGCCTACAGGCTAGGCTACTACTCGAAAATAGTTAGCTATGTTTCAAACTTTACCTTAATATTTAATTAATATCATACAATGTGACATTAGCACATATATTATCAATACGCCACCAACCCCTCAGTATAGGCTATAGGAGTGCACTTGTGCCCTTACCTGAATATGTGTTTGTAAATTTGTGTTGGATGTCCTCGACGTGGAATCTTGCTTAACTTCGGACTGCAGAATAATGACACCTTTTCCACATATTTGTCCTAAAAAATGGTGAAAAACATATCCCAATGCGAGAAGTTGTTTCTGTTTGGAGAACGGCCCAGTTGATTCGGTTTAATGAGCGAGTCAGTTGAATTGAATGAGTGAGTCATTTACGCTGGAATCGCGCCGCTTCATTGAATTAGATGATAACTCATGGTCAGTTATTCTTGAATTGGACCTGTATTTATTCTAAACATCATACAGAGAATACTCTACTCATTTAGGCTATTTATTGGTGAAATATTGCCAAGAAATAATGGCAATCGATAAAATAGCTTCATGACTGAAAAATTTTATAATATCTGCAAAAAGTGATTAAACTTTAGTTTTGCTTTACTGGTGCTACACTATTGGACATGATCAGATTAATGAATATTTAGCTACAATGGATGTATGTGTGCTTAAAAATGTATATTAATAGTTGCATGCTTTAGCCTATGCTATACCATGTTATCTGTCAGTGTCAGATTTCTAGAAACCAGAATATTGTCTACAATCAGATTAATGTGTTTACATGGCATTGAAAGTCAGAATTCAACCAAAGCATAATTATTGTTCATGTAAACAAAGTCAGTCAATGATTGAAAATAATGTAAGTTACCATTTCAAAGGGTTAGTTCACCCAAAAATTAAAATTATGTAGTTATTGCTCATCTTCATGTTGTTCCAAACTCGTAAGAATTTTGTTCATCTTTAGAACACAAATGAAGATATTTTTTATAAAAATCTGAGCAATTTCTTCATTGACAGCTACGCAACTCTTTGACGCTACTTCATTAAGAGATTGTAAAACTTATCCATATGAATTGAGCGGTTTAGTCCAAATCTGAAGAGAGATTTTAATATTGTTCTGAAGAGACACAATCGCTTTATACACTAAACATATAAAATGTATAGGCTTTTATTCACATAGAAACATTCATCAATATTCACATCAGTTCTGGTAGCCTAAACGGAAGCTCAAGCATGTTGACGTGAACCCTGGTGAGAACCAAGCTGAGAACCAGCTTCCGCAAGAACCAATGAGTTTGTTCTCACGCATCAAGCATGTTCGGTTGAGCTTCTGTTTATGTTCGCTGATTAGTGTTAAAAGCCTAAATTGTAAATCTGTTCATCATATAAAGCGATCTAGTCTCTTCAGACATTTTGGACTAAATTCATATGGATGAAATTTACTTTTGGAACAACTCGAGGGTTACAATAAATGATGACAAAATTTTCTTGTTTTGGGTTTAACTGTCCCTTTAAGACTTTAGGTTTCTTAAATAGGACTCACAGTGGAATGCACAGTGCACACGGCTAAATGCAACGTGTTTTACACAAGCAATCTGTTACAGTGGGATCAATTCCATGGATGATTAAGCATGATAATGAAGGTTTTTGGACATTCTCCACAGAGGCGCAGACACAGCAGCTGGTGACATTCATGAGCACATCACAATGAATTCCCATTACTTTCAATGATCATGAAGCCTGCTTTTGGCAATGTTACAAACCCAATAAAATTGCTAAAGTATGCCATATGTGTCTGTTAAGAGGGGAATTAAAGTCAAATTGCTTTATTCATAGTAAAAAAGAAAGCAAATCCATGGCCAGCAGATGATTTTGTTCTTTCATATTGCTGTTGACATGATGGTCAAATTAATTCACAGAGGGCAATACATTGAAAATGTAGCCTAAGCAGGAGAGGAAAATGCCATCATACCAATAATCATATTTTACAGAAAACTTAATAGAGAACTTATTCATCTATAGTCTCAAAACCTGAAAGATAATTAAATGGATAGTTCACCCATCATTTGATCACACTCATGTTATCCCAAACCTGTAATACATTTTCTTCTGCTGAACACAAAAAAGATATGAAGAGTTCAGATGCAAAACCCTCTAAATGCCATTTGAAATTTTCTTCTTTAATGATGATTTTTATCAAACTTGTATATTTAAGTTCAGTAATTTCACTTAAATACCTATTAATAGTTATTTAAGTGAAATTACTGAACTTAAACATACAAGTTTGATAAAAATCATCATTAAAGAAGAAAATTTCAAATGGCATTTAGAGGCTTTTGCATCTGAACTCTTCATATTATGATGAATGTTGGTAACCAGACAGTAAGGCAGTATTTCAATTTAAAATAATAATAATTTGGAAGTCAATGGCTACCGTCAACTGTTTGATTACCAACATTCTTCAAAATAATATTCTTTTGTGTTCAGCAAAAGAAATAAACTTATAGTTTGGAACTTGAGAGTGATTCAATTATGACAGAATAAAAAAAAATGGGTGAACTATCATTTTAATATTGTCACGTTATTGGATGTATGCTCTTGACGAACTAATTTTACATTAAACAGCTTTAAAAAACAGAAAACCTTCATTTCACGTTGTTGGAAGTAGATCTTTTGTATTTTATTTTGTATTTTTTAACATAAAGTGTATATTTTTTGTTTTGTTTTGTTTACCAGTAGAGGGCGCATGGTAACTTTTTAGCTCCATGGTAACGGCACGGCGTCATCCATATTTCCTGCTGCAGCATAAAGCATTAGCACAACATTCTTTTTAGTATTTTAAATACGTCAATGATGTTATATCTTTAATGAATACATCGATATTTGTTTCGAGTCATCATGAGCCGCACTCCTGATGCAAGAGCGAGGTAAAAGTTGTCCAGATTTGTTACGACGTTTGGGAAGCTAACTAACGTTAGCTAAGCTAAGCTAAATGATACGAGCTGTAACGTTAGTCCATTTGTTAGCGGATGTTGTTGTGTAAATGACTATATAACTTGTATCAATATTTTCAAACAAAAACCGCATAATTATATGTGTAACCGAAATGAACAATTGTTAACAGTTTGGCATGTCTGCACATTTCGAAGATACAAGATTTATTTTTAAATGCTAGCGTTATATGACATCCTAACTTAAAAACAGAGTAACGTTATTATAAAGACATGACTGTTTAATTATATTGTATATAATTATATTATTTAATTATATTGTATATATTGTAATATGTATTACAATTCTGATTTTACTTATCAGGTTACTACAAAAATAAAACAGCTTGTTTTAAATATCTCTTGTTTGAAGAGACTGTATCTCTGGCATACTAAACACTAGTCTTGAAATTCGGACTTTTGCTATCTTGCAGAGTAAATCTTATAACCCTTTTAACATGTTGATGAATGGCAAAACCTACAGTCAACAGGTTTATCCTAACAAAATTCCCTCATTCAGATTATCTTAATTTTTCTATGTTGCACATCACAGAGACATCCAGACCAAGCAGATTCAGGACAACATCACCAATGTAGAGAAGCACTTTGGAGATCTATGCCAACTTTTTGCTGCTTACGTCCGTAAATCTGCAAGACTGCGGGACAAAGCCGACCTCCTGGTCAAAGAAGTCGGCCTATATGCTGATACAGAGACACCAAACCTAAAATGTGGATTGAAGAATTTTGCAGATCAACTGGCCAAGATTCAGGACTACCGGCAAGCAGAGGTGTGTTTAAAACCACAAAAACATTCTTTAGCAATAGCATATTTGTGTTTCCTACTAATTTGCAAACGCATACTATTGTTCACAGGTGGAGAGGCTGGAAGTGAAAGTTATAGAGCCTTTGAAAGCATATGGGAATATTGTGAAAACAAAAAGGGTAAGGTTTTCTTCATAAGCCCCTCAGTGATGGAGTGCAAGTAAATGGGTGCATACTTTATACAGTAGTTCAAATATAAAAATGACCTTATTTCAGTGATCTCATGAGGGCAGCATTGCATCACATTCTGAGTAAGCATGATGTACAGTGACTGTTGTCACAGGTCAAAACCTAAGAACTAAGACGCTCTGTTCTTACCAACCTTTTGTGATTTTATACAATTTATGTACAGGAGGACCTGAAGCAGACGCAGATTGCACGGAGCAGAGAGTCCAAGCAGATGCAGCAGCTTGAAAGAATGAGGCAGAGAAACCCGTCGGACAGACAGATCATTGTATCCTTACAATCAGATGTTATTTTTATCGCTGGAACTACATAGCTATGAACTGAAAGAGCAGTACAGATATCAACAGTTATTAGTCAAATGACCCTGTATATTAATAAATCATCAATAAAAAAATAGATTTAATTACATACAAAATATTTGCTTAGGAAATATTTAAGGAAATACTGTTTTACAGCATTATTGTGTCAGATAAGGAAATTAATTAATACATTAAAAAGTGGCATTTGAAGTTAATACCGAGGTAGACTTAGTTTAAAGTTTAACGCTGTATAATTCAAAATACCTGCATATATCACTGCATATTTTGGATAGAATATATTTGGATCATATATCACTGCATATTTTGGATCGATACACACAAAACTTTAAATATATTATTTTAGAGCTACAGTAAATGATCAAAGGGAATCTGACTGAACACCACAACACACTTGTAGCCAATCAGCAGAAGGGGGCGTGTCCACTCATGATGGGGGAGGAGAGAGAGTGAGCCAGTGGGAGATTTAAAGAAAGACTAGAAAGAGAGATGGCTGAGAACATTACAAAAATGAAAAGGTCAGAGGAATATCACTAGGAAAAAAAGGGGTTGTGATCAGGAAAGAGCTTTAAAGGGATAGTTCACTTTGAAATTAATTTTTGATATGTTTTAGCTTACTTTAAGGGCATCCAAGCTGTAGGTGTATTTGTTTCCACAGTATTTTCAATTTTGATATTTTTAGGTCAAACCGTTCTTGTCTGTCAGTCATATAATGGAGGTCTATGGGGTCCACCACAAAGAGCATGCACAGAGAAGTCCAAATTAAACATGATTTAATGACGTGAATGTAAGTACACATTGATGGCCTAAGACACGAAATGAGTGGTTTGTGTGAGAAAACGAACAGTATTTATATCATTTTTACCTCTTGTAATCACAGTCACGTTGTGGAAGTGATCTCTCGCGAGTGTACGTCACTCATTGTTTACACAGAGATTCCAGAAGTGTTGCCCTTCACTGTGAAGATCTAAACATATTTACATATACAGGAAATTGCAATGGAAGACGATTTCGATATATCAACAGATATTATAACATTGATATATATTTTTTTTTTTTGCAACCGCGTAAGAGATCACTTCTGGGGCTTTCCAGCGCTTGCGCCCATGCCTTCAGATCACTTGGACGTGGCTGTGGTTACAAGAGATAAAAAGCATATAAATAATGTTCGTTTTCTCACACAAATCGCTCGTTTCGTGTCTTAGGTCATCAATGCGTACTTACATTTATGAGTCATTAAATCATGTATAATTTGGACTTCTCTGTGCACGCTCTTTGAGGTGGACCCCATAGACTTCCATTATATGACTGACAGACAAGAACGGTTTGACCTAAAAATGTCAAAATTGAAAATACTGTGGAAACAAAGACAGCTACATCTCGGATACCCTTGAGGTAAGCTAAAACATATCAAAAATTAATTTCAAAGTGAACTATCCCTTTAAGACCTGGTTTAATATTAGAAAAGCCGTGTGAAAATATATGTGAGTAACATTGGTTTTGCTATGTTTCTCAGAACTAACTAAGATATGTTGCTGTTGTGATGTTAGATATCGTTGTTAGATATCGTAACAGGACAGTTTTGAGGGTCATTGTTTTTCTGGAGCTGGTGTGGTGCAGCTGTCATTCGTCATCTTCACTTTATTTTTGCGAAGCATTATTTTGTTTCACTTCAGCTAGAAGACATGCACTCTTGCATTGTGTGTTTGTACATTTCGGGGTTGGAGCAATGAAGGGAGGAGTTGGTTTTTTTGGCTTGATTTCCAACAGCAATAGTGTTTCTAAGGAACCGCTTACTGCACCTTTAATATTGCCATTGTTTTGTGATAATTACGAGCACAAGTTGTTTTGTGTAATTGCTGCCTAACATGTTTGTTTTGTTTGCTTTACTGAATACATGCAGTTACTTAACCACATAACATGCTATTTTATAGCTGTATATTACTGCCATTTGGACATTACTTTGATACATTTATCTCTGGCTGCTTCATTTAAGCTGCTTTGAAACAATACTTATCGTAAGCATTATGTAAATAAGCTTGAATTTAATTTAATCAAATATTTGTATACTGGTTCTGGGGGTTTAATGAACTGTGTTTGTTTTTTAACATAGATTTTAATACTTTAAATACTGATTTTTATTAATTAACATGAATCGACAGCCTTAAGGTCCTTACACACTGAGTCCGAAATTTTCGTATGCGTATTCGTAATTGTCGGGGTAATTCGGTGGCTCGGAAATGTCAAAACGCCTCTCAAAATGCTTGCCACAGATGTGAAGAACGCAGAAAATCGAATCCAATCGGAAAAAAAAATTATGACGGACGAAGGTTTTGAAAGCAGTGTGTAAACGTGATTGACACAATGTGACATCATATTTATTTTTTAATATGCAAAAATTTCGGATACGAATGTGCAAGGACCTTTACTCTTGATGTTTTAATGCCATATAAAGATATTTGTTGTAAACCACAGAATTACAGATAATACCTTGACAGCCTTTCTCAGTCACAGGTGGGCCTTTGTTGCAACACACTGTAACATCATCTTGAAACTACTTTTATTTAGCTTAATTATAACTAAGTAGATTCAATTCAGCCTGGTTCTAAAATGTCACACATACCAGAGCCCCTTTCAGGCAAATCATTTCACTCGGCGGCCATCTTTGAAACGCCTCGGGCAGCTATTTCAAAAATTTCTATTTGAAATCGCCAATGAGACCTGACAACAACTGTCTCGTAAATGTTGTTTCTAAATGCTCAGTCATAACAAAAAAAAATGCATTTTTCAGGCTGGACCAGCCAATGCATATGTGCAGACCTAAGTGCATGTCTCAGTAAGAACACTGACTGTTTCTACACCAACCAGAGCGTCTAACTGCAGCTGAAGTGACTCAATGACTTTAGCAATTGGCAATCGGCTCTTTTTCTTAAAAGTTTTACTTAACTGGACTAACTAGTATAAATAAAAGTCTTTGCACATAGTTAACTTGATGTGAAAGTTCTCATTGTGCTAGTTTAAATCGTCTCAGTAAGCTGATAGACTCACGTCATTTATGTCTGCTGCTTGGAACACTTTGTGCTTTACGTTTTATTGTCGGTTGTGTGACGAAAGGCTGAGAGTGAACTTCAGAGAGCCACAATGGATGCCACACGCACGACTCGCCAGCTGGAGGAGACAATAGATGACTTTGAAAAGCAGAAGATTCGTGATATTAAGGTCCTTCAGACTGCACGGTTGCTTATTTCTTTCAAAATCTCAGGAAAATGAAACCCACATTTAAGTACACTACCATTCAAAAGTTTGGGGTTATTTTTTTTTCTTTTAGAAATAAATAGATAAATACTTTTATTCAGAAAGGACGCATTAAATTAATCAAAAGTGTCAGTAAGCACATTTATAATGTTACAAAATAATTCAATTTCATATTTCAAATAAATGCTGAACTTTTGAACTTTTTATTCATCGAAAAATCCTGAAGAATCCACAGAAATATTCATACTTGAATGATTTCTGAAGGAAATACAGCTTCGCCATCATACAAAATATATTGAAATAGAAAACTGTTATTTTAAATTGTAATATTAATTCGGAATATTAATCGTTTTACTTAATTTTTGATTAAAAATATGCAGCCTTGGCAAGATTAAGAGATTTCTTTCAAAAAATATTACAGAACCCAAACCTTTGAACAATTGTGTAAATAAATTATGAATACAATTTATGTTTAATTACAGTGACGTTTCTATATATAACATTTTCCAGTGCTACTTGGGAGAAATGAGTATTATGTTTCCAATGCAGAAAATTTTGGGTGAATTTGTGACGGTGGAGATGGCGTTCCATGCCAAGGCGTTGGAAATTTACACATGTGCTTACCAGGACATTCAGAATGTAGATGAAGAAGGAGACCTTGAGGTGAGTGCTCTACACCAGAACCGTTGCTCTGATGGTCATGCTGGTTTGAGCTTGTCTGTCTTAATGTCTAATCAAATTATACTCTTTCTCCTCCCTGAGATCCCCCTGCTGTCATAATGATGAAAGCTCTAGTTGCTGGGGTATAAAGCCCCATCCAATCCTGATACGTAAAAGAAGCGTGTTCAGTCAGCTGTGGAATGCTCGCAGTGTGGCTAATGCATTTATTTATGAATTCATAGTTTGACGTGCCAAAACTAATTTTGTACTCAAGGCTGAGTTTGTTAATATTTCCTTGACTTGCCGATGAGAGTATCACATGAATATTATTTCAGAAGGGATTTTTAAAGGGAAATGTTTCCTTGTTCTTGTCTGAACTTTGCCTGTAATTGTATGTGGAAACTTGTTATAGTCATATAATTGGCACATGGTGACAGTTTTATGAAGACACAACTAAAGCATATAGAGATGAGTCATAAATATTCCTGTAATATTTAACTGCAGTTAAAAAAGTTAAGGTGACAATGTTTGTTGGCACACCCTCACCAGGACAGAGTGTGTAAATGTTTTTTTTTCCCAATCTAAATTACATGTTTCTCTGTTGCTACAACACAGTATGTGGTATTAGTTTGTGTTGACTTATTTCCTCTAATTAATATATTCTTGTTTGAGCTCAACTTTTCTCTTTATTGTTTTACTATGTGGCGAGTGAGTGAGATGACATTAGGTTATTGGTGGTCCATGTGAAGAGCAGTCCTTAAGTCTACCCTTGTTTTTTTTTTTTGTCTTGACAGGTATTTAGAAATTCAATGCACCCCCCTGATTACCAGTCACGGTTAGATATAGTTCGTGCCAATTCTAAACTGTCCCTGAATCGAACTGGTACATCAATGAGTAAATCTGGAACAATGCAGGTAAGTGCTTCCCCTTATCTTATATTTACATTTACAATCGAAAGTGGTAGCATTAATAGGTCAAGTGTTGACAAAAAAAAAATCTTTGAATGCATTACATATTACAGTAGAGGTGCATGATTAATCGTTAAAAGATCTCGATTCAAACACCCACACAACTTATTCCTAAATGACAACGACATGGCTATATCTATTAAATCTTTGACAAGTACGATCACAGCTTAACATTTAAACCTTTTGAAAGTAACTTGACGCTTCATGTAAACATTGTATCAATTAAAGGTGTGTTCCAAACGAAAGTGAACACGTGAATCCCTTAGCAAGTCCGTAAGCAAAGAGTATATGCTATGGTCACTTGGAAGTGATTTTAACGTTTATGGTCATGTGACCTTTAAAGCAAGGTGACAGGAGAGTTTGAGTTAACGTATAGACAGAATAAGTTGCTTTGTTTTGTTTGTGATATTATACATTATTTTAACATTTAATCACCCTAATTGGTTACACCAGTAGGTGGCAACAAGTGACTGTAAAACATTTTTTTTGTCATTGAATCGTTTATTCAAGACACTCTTCAAAAACGCTGATTCATCAAGTAGTGAAACAAGTGAGTCATTGAATCATTCATTCAAACTGAATTCAAGTTGTTAATTATATGGATAATAGGAATGCATTTATTCAAAGAAAGCGCCTACATCAATACAGGTGCCCCAAAATGATGCACAACGTAAATGCTTTTACTTCAGGAATAAGATTTTCCATTTCTCAACACTGTCTTAATAGCATATTGGTGGAAAAATCTTATTTTGATGTAAGTTGCATTACAATCCCCAAAACTATGACTGAAAGATTTTTCTTCTGATGTAGTCAAGAACATCTAGCAGACAGAGGAAAAGGGATGATGAGGAAGACGAAGAAGAGGATGATGAAGATGAGGATGATTTGGAGGAAGTGACTGATGATGAGCATTAAAATAAAATTTCATTGCCATTTTGACTAAGATCCACCGCATATCCAGTCAATGACATTCCTGAACTGTATTTAAGAGGGGTTTTAAATGGAGATTAATTTGTATCACCAACTATAAATGTAATGAAATGATAGTTGAGCTTTGTTAGTTAAAGGTATGGTTGTATGTTTGCTCTCTTGTAAATCATATACAGTACTATGAAATTATATTATACTGAATAACACATTCAAAGAGTGTTACTTTCATTTTTTTAATCATTTTAAATCTCCCATTATGTTTTTTGTGTACAAAGTGCCAAGCTGAGTTCCGGTGATCGATATTTGGTTAGAATATGCCTTAGAGAATGTAGGTGTACCAATAAAGCTGGCTCTTTCTCTTGCATAATAGGCCATTTGCATGATCTCAAAAGTCTGAGTGTGCATTTGTTTTCTTCTGTTTACTGAGCGTACATACCGAAAGTCTGACTGTGTGTATGTTATACACAGAAACAATAATGAACCCCTGAAACTTACTTGACCCGCCCTGTGTTTGATTGTGTCTCATAGCTTTTATATCAGTCATGAATGAGTCAGAAACCGTAACCAGTACTACTGGTATACTTATGACTATAGCAAAGTTCAGGAAATCAGTGTATGAACCAAGAATGAAGGCCACTGAAAATGTGGATGTGCACTGTTTTTAGCAGGTTTTTGTCTCCAGGTGTGCGGATACGTGGCGTTTCATGACAGATGCGCAACACGGTCATTCATTCAGTGGCATTGAGGATGACAGATCCAAGGAAAGGGTTCCCTTCTCGCCAGTCTGACTCATCCTTTACAGAGGCCGTAATGGGAAACTAGTGTGTGTTTGTGTGCGCTGTAGCGCCTGACTGTACTGAATATTAACACGATGGTTGCCTCGCAGCGGATTGTAAAAAAAAAAAAAAGAGCATAACTACTGGATGAGTCAGAGAGAGAGAGGTGCTGCAGGCTCTGGGTACATGTTCCCCAGCATATACACTCTCTCCATCCGTCAAGCAGATGCAGAGATTTGGCTGTCACTCTAAAACCCTCTGTGACCTCTGCAGTGGTGTGTTTTTGACGGGCATCATCTCTGAATTACTGCACCACTGAAATGTGTCTTATGATTTTTTTTTATTGAATAACATTGTTTATCTGTCTATGAGACATGCATTACATAGTATCTAATTAACCAAATAAGTAACCATATCTAAACTGATATTTTCTATATAATTAAAGAATAAAAACAGGAAATAAATACAAGAGTAAAATGCATTTTTGAGGGGAAATAATTGTTTTTCAAATGTTTCGAAAATTTTAGTTTCTTTAAAGCTGCAGTCCGTAGCTTTTTGGGGTTCAAAATTATCCAAAATAAATTTGAGCTAATGCATAACCAGCCAGTGTTCAAAACTCTCTGCTTGCCGTAGCTCGATTCAAAACGGTAAGCTGGTAATAATGTTTTTAATTTCAGTGGTAGGCTACTGGTGGATTTCCAAGGGAGATCGAGCATGTCTTTGAGTCATTACGGTCACATCTGTACATATAAAGAAGGAGTCTCGGCTAGTTTACGCTATATTGCGTGTGAGGATGTTGGAGGTGGAGATTTATAGCCTTTTCTCACAGCACTTGATATAATTAAACTTATTAATTTGATGGCGGATCCAGAAAGGTTAAAACAACAATCACCAGATTCACCCGCTGTAAAATGCAAAAGACTTGGGAGTGGCCACAGAAAAAAACAGACCGGAACCGACACATGCGAAAACAAGGATAAATATCTGAAGGGCTTTAAATGTAGTCACGCAATACTGACGTTGAACATTAACAATTTGAGAACAAAGTATAATTTGCACTTTTTTACGTAATATGAAAAGCGTTTTTTTTTTTTTATTTATTCAATCAGCATGATTTACTTCAATGCTTTTTTTCAGTTAGTTGGTCAGAAGAACAAAAGTGGATGTTACTTGTTCAGATGACATTTTCCGGTGAAAATTATTATGTTGGTCATACTTCCAAAAAGAATAATCTGTGATTCTGAATGCCAGTATCCACACCGGCACGGCGACTGACAGCTGCGTGTTCTCCTCAAACATTGTGTTCATCCACGCTGTGCCGTGTCGAGGATCAACTCACGTAAAGTTGGTCATTCCGCTAATAACTGCAATTGCAGGTTTCGAACAGAGATGGCGACAAAGAGGAAAAACTGTGGACTGCAGCTTTAAAGTCTTCTCAGACTACTCTTTTTTGAGTGACAGTTGCAACAGAGGCAACTTACAGAGAATTACCTTCCCATTCTTTTTTGACAGGTCTAATTAAAATTCTCTTGATCAAAAGTTCTAATGAAAAAACTGGTTAACCATATACTATGTTCTGAGTAGAAGTACCTGCACTCCAGGTTTGTTCTGTCACCCAGTGCTTGTTTTTGTTAATGGTTTCGACATCCACCTTCAAAAGCATACTGCTGCCACATATAATATTGCGCAAGTGCTTATCTGAGTCTAGGATGATACGATCTGCCAGAGATGCCTTGGGGTCATAAGCTTACAGCAGGCGGAAAAGAAAACAGACATCTGTCTTTGCTGGCTCTGACCCTCAGCTATGTAATGAGGATATATGCAAATCCATTGTTGGGTTAGTAGGAATATGTATGTACATTCCATGATTGATGTTCAAATATACAGCAGGTTTAATTCGACAAGTTTAGTCTCCTCCGTGCAGCATTGCCCTCTATGTTTTAAGATCAAACTCTGATTCATTGGAGAAGCATGTTGTATAAAGCACCAGACCCATACATAGTTTCATAAATAGGGAGTGGCTTTGCCCCTGAACTGAATTTGGAGATATGAGTCAAAAATGCTGATTAAAAGTGATACTTGAAAGTGAGTCTGGGTGAGTCGCCAACAATACGTGACACACACCTACTAAACCGCTTCAGAAAGTTTGAAGATCAAAATAGGTGGCAGATCTATGAAGAAATTATTTGTATTTGTAGGAAATTCTCACGAGGATGCCAGCCAGACCCCAGGGGCCTTCAACCCTGAAGAACCATCGTTGGGCTTGACCTTATGGGCATAAATCCTCCTTTATTTGATTTATATGACATGCAAAGACCTAGACTGGCTTTGTGATTAAGTTATAGCTTGCGATATGAGAGGAATTCATTACCCACAGTATAAGGAGCCAGTGGTTTTACTAATGTCTGGGAACAGCGCACTAATTGGGAAAATCCCATAGGATTTATACAACAAAGAGGAATGTGTCCCAACTCTTTATGACCACACATGTTGTCAGCCAAAGCACATTTTCTCTATTTCCATCAGATGTGCCAACTCTGCTCTGGATCCAAAGAAACAGTGTGTTTCCACAGGTGAGACATTGAAGAAAAATGTCTTACATTGCACTGAAATGTTTACATTCTCACACGGCTTCATCGGGTTTTCATTATATTCCCATTAAACTAATGAAACTGGCGTTCTAAGACCGTTGGTTGATATGGAGTGTCCTATTCAGAAATAAACAGCAGGCAGACGGACAAGCGGTGGCCGTTTCAAAGGAACGGATGAGAGAGACAGCCACGGTGGTTTGTTTTGGAAAAAGTGGAGAGGTTTCCATGGAGCCACTATTTGATCCCATGATAATTAGCTTAGCTCCTTTATTGCACAACATCCTCTCCATTGGCTACGAGGTGGCCTTCATCACTGGGAACGTGCCTCTGTTTATGCTATACAGTTGTCACAATGCCCGACTTGAGCTTAAAGCGGCTCACGATCAAAACAGGAAACACAGCGGAGGGTTGTTTGTTGTTGGACATCCACACTTGTACATTTTTTATGATTATTGATAGCTGAACGGCAGGGTTGCCAGATCTGCATGACAAAACTGAAGAGTTTTGATGTTAGTCGATCCGTTTTGGAAAAGGTATACAGAAGCCATGTTGAGAGTATTTTAATGTTAAATACAGCCTGGTATGGTAACTTAGGGGTGAGGAATAATAAAAATTAACTTACCGTGATTTTAACGGCAAAAGACTATGCTACAGTGAAAAACAGTTAATTGGTTAACAGAAAGTGTCTGTGCTATATACGCTGAGTACTTCAATAGATCGATAAATTGACATATCAGATAATGAATGTAAATTTACTGTTGCTATCGTAATTTTTTTACGGTGATTTCTGGTAAACCACAGCTGCCAAATTTAACAGAATGTTTTTACAGTGAGAATAATAAGACACCAGCAAACACAGTTTGATAAACTATCTTCTGGTGATAGAAGACAATCTGACTCCACACTTCCACTTAACTCCTACTTAATTTGTAATGCTTCCATCTGGAAGAAGGTATAAGGTCCCGAAATATCTTAGAAATGTGTATAAATATTCCTTTATACCAGTGGCAATTAGAATATTAAATGAAGGGTAAGCAACTCATTGTGAGAATAACATTTATATTGATATATTGTGTATAATTGTGCTTTTAATGAGAAGCCAAATGAGAATTTCCACATTGGTGAACAATAAAATCAAATCAATCAATCAAACCAGCCATTGCCGAACTTAAGTGGCCCAATAGCCAATTCATTTTATCTTTGAATGATGCTAAGAAACTCATGCATTTATCTTTTCTCTTTTTGATTATTGTAATCAATAGATTTCACACACGCAGACTTGAAGTGACGTCTAGAACGCATTCAAATACTTCAGCTGAATCGCATCATGTCGAGAAGACGCTGTGTTCTACATTGCAAAGACAGTCAGCCACTTGTTTTCATTGTCCAGGGACGAGCATGTGAAGAATCAGTGGTCAGAGTTCATATTTGCAACGCCAGAACCTTGTGTTCTCATCATTTTAATGACGAATCATTCAAAATTCAAAAACCTAAATGAATTCAAATGTGGATTGGCAAGCCGGTTGTTCCTGAAGGGGGTCTCAGTACTATCCAATGTAAATGGATCAGGTTCGTCCTCCTCCGAATCACAATCTGTAAGTAATATTAATAATGTTTGCTGTTATGTTTTATAGCATGCACAATATTTATACTCCGCGCAGCTTCTAAGCGGGGTAAAGTTAGTTTTGTTTTTGATATTCACCAGACATTTATTGAAAAATGGCAATTACCTCCTAAACGACTTAGCCAAATATCAATACTTCGCTCTATATAATAAGCACTGCCCTTCAAAAGCCCCCGCAATGTGAGTTTCGCCGGGAAAGCTTGCTCTTGACGGAGACGCGAGTAAGGGACCGTGTGGAAAGTGCACTTTTTCTGACACGTTTGTTCAAAAACTATATACAATTTTCAACACTTGACAAGCTATAATTCTGGTTATGGGCGTTCCGTTGCCGAGTCTGCCGACAGTCTCTGCCTATAGACCATTTCACAAGATGTAAACAACACTGGTCGAGAAGCACTTCCTGTTTCAGTTTGTAACTGTTTTCTTTATTTCACATGTAAAGAAAACATCCTAAAGATGCTTGTTTAACTTTTTGATTCAGTTTTAAATGTTCTGTTGGTTGT